TCAAGCGATCCTCCTGCCTCAGCCTCCCGAGCAGCTGGGACTACAGGCATGCGCCACCACGCCCGGCTAATTTTTTCTATATGTATATATACGTTTTTTTAGCTGTCCAGATAATTTCTTTCTGTTTTTAGTAGAGACTGGGTCTCGCTTTTGCTGGTCTCGAACTTCTGACCTTGAGTGATCCACCCCCCTCAGCCTCCCAGAGTGCTAGGAAAAAGACTATTTTTAAGGCAACGATTCTTGAGAAGAATATGCGCCAAAATTTTAATAGTACTATTTATCTTTTAGAGGGTGAGGTTAAGTGCATTTTTGTGTGTATGATTGTCTATAGTTTTTTTTCTACAATGAACATGAATTATAATTTTTAATTACACAATTTAGATTATAAGTTATAACATCAATTGCATGTACTTGAAATTCCGTTTTCCTCAATATTCACTGAATAAATGAGAGCACAGAGAAAGCAGTGCACACCCACCAGGTACAGCGCGTCCCCATATGACGTGTTGTTTACAGGCGACAGAGAGAAAAAAACCTAAGTCCGAGCCAGGGATGGGAGCATGGCCGCGGGGCTCAAGTTCACCACCCACTGGCCGTGAGAGCCGTCCCCCATCTGTAGGACGGAATCATGAAATGGAAAGGACTCTACCCTAGAGCGTCGCGACAGATTAAGAAGGTCGTGTGATGTACATAAAGCTACTTAACGCAAGGTCTCAGACAGGCTAGGACCCTGGCAGCATTTCTTCATAAAGACAGTAAAGAGAACACAAATATGGTATGCACTCTGCAAACAAACAAACAAAAAAATGCAACACTTAAGTTTTCTATTTTATTTAAGAAAATATTTATTCTGTGAGCTGCGGAGACCTGGCTGTGGTCCCAGCACCTCCGAGAGGATAGGACTGGCTGCCCCCTCCCAGGCCCCCTTCCCCTCTGAGCACTCAAATCCACAAGCAGCTTCCAAAGACATGCGACGCATTAGCACCCTACGAAAAGAGATTAGAGGAATATTTATTTTTAAGTTCAGAGATAAGAGCTAAGCATTATTTTCCTGGGGCTTTTAAGACCATCTTTGATTACAATATGAAAGCTTAATTCAAGATATGATTTTCTCTTATTTGAAACGATGGCTATTTGTTTTTTTAATTCTTTTTATTGTTAAAAAAAAAAAAGTCCTTTAAAAAGCCCCAGGCTGCGAGCAGCTTCACCACAAGAGGCCATTCACCGCTTCTTGCTCTGGGTGTCGCTGTGGTTCACAGCTGCTCTGCTGGAGGAGGCACCCGCAGAAAGATGGTGCCCCCCAGGGGCCACGCCAGGCCCTCGGCGCCCCCCCCCCACGCCCGCCCACTGCCAGGCCGGTGTGGGCGTGGGCTTTTGTCCCAGCTACTGTGGAAGTCACCAGGCACTTGGTGACTGAATTTTCTGTGAATCAACATTATACGGCAACAGTGCTCCTTTCTTCTTCCCTAACGTAGTTTGCGTTGGAATTTTGCTATTGATTAGAGAAAGGCTCTCGCTGGTGGTGGGCTTTAAGGTCATAAAACTGTTGAGCTTCGCATTCTGAAAACCTGAGCATTTTCTAACATGATTTAAAAAGAAAAATAAAAGTCCCCGATCATCCTCTACGTTGATCTGCTCGGCACAACCAGGCCAGCCTGAGTGGAAGCACTTTATAGACGTTCACTCCTCGAGTCCCGGCACACGCGTGCGGGAGGTGCTGCCCTGGTCCCGTGTTTGCACGGAGGACCCACACCGAGGCCCGGATGCACCACGGCCACCACTTGACCTCGCGAGGGTTTGACCTGCTGCCCGGGAAGTTTCCAGAGGAGGCGCAGGTTCCTGATAAAAGGTATGGGCTTGGAATAAAGAATTTTCCCACCAAAACACGTGATAATAGCTGACAGGATGTTATTCAGCCACTGAAAATGACAGTTACGAAATACTCATGAAATAAAAACTTTAAAGCAGGACATAAAAATGTACACTCAAAAAATATATTTATCCAATGGCTGTGATGATGTAGAAAATGGGATTTAAAAAACCAGAAAAATGATGACCCAAAACACAAGCGCCAGGTGCCAGGGTGCCAGGGAGAAGCCAGATTAGTTTCTGCTTCTTCTTCCTTTATTTTCAAGGGCGTTTTTAAGTGCATAGTTTTACTTGATAATGGGGAGAGTATAACTAAAATATCACCAAACGTCAGAAAAGACCCCAGGCCACTGCCCCATCTTTCCTTGTCATAAAAGCTACCTGACTAGAAAGTCACGTGGGATTGCCATGGTGTCATTTAAACCATGGCTGTCCACACCAGTGTCCAGGGCCACACCGCGGCTGCCCGCCAAGGAAACAGAGCCTCGCTCCCCATCCCGCAAGACCCCGCCGAGACAGCCTGCAGCGGCCTCCTCAGCGCCTCCCAAGCTCCCAGGGCCTTGCTGCAGACACCCTGGGAAACCTTCTGGGTGAAACATCACTGGCAGTGAACTGTGGGGAGCTCCACTTTCTCTCGGCCCCAGTGAGCTCCAGCCAGGGGACATCGGCCGCAGACGGGGCGGGTGGGCACTGGCCCTGGGACCGCCAGGCCCAGGGGACCCAGCGTGGATCTACGGGCAGGCAGAGAGGCCAGGCCACACCTGCTGGCAGGACGGGGGCGAGGGGCGCCCCAGGGAGCACTCGGCAGGTGCAGACAGGCATGTGGTTCGGTGGTAGAAGGCCGGCCTCAAGCAAGCTTTGTGTTTTGTTTTTTTTAAATCCTAAATGTATCCTCTAAAACAGGAAGTCCTCCACTCTTTAACCCTGTCCCACCTCTGCTTTGGGCTGGTTAAGGTGTGCACTAAAGGAATCCGGATGCCAAAGCCGGTGCCCTCCGGCACCACCGGCTCCACTGCCCGGAGCGTGAGAGCCTCAGCAGGACGCCCGAGTGCAGGGGGGACGTGGCGGGCGCAGGCACATGGGCCCAGGCTCGCAACAGAGCCTCATCTTTCTCCCCCAGAAGCTCTCACCCCAGCCCACATCCAGCGGCCAGAGTTTCAAGGCTCCAAAAGCACCGAGTCCTCGGCGAGAGCCTCGAGGCACCACAACCCACCAGGGACACGGCTGCCGGGAAGATCCCTTACCTGCAGGAGCGGGTGGCGGCAGCTCCCGCTGGTCCATGCCACCGCCTCCGAAGCCACTGTCCTCGGCTGCCGGGAGAAGGGGCCCTGCAAAGACCGGAGCTCGCTGGGCACGTCTCGGGAGGATGGGCGTTCACTCCACGCGCTCGGGGCTCTCTGCGGCAACCCTGAGGAAAGGAAAGGAAAGGGTTAACCGTCATTAACAGCTGTGATGAGAGGAGCAGCCACCTATCAGTGCAGATACTTGTACATCTCCCTCGAAATAACACTCAGAACAAGACAAAGAGTTCTCAGTGCTGGCTGCAGTTCACCTTGAATTGTAGCCAGCAGTTTATTTTGCAACTTGGATTCACCAATCGGACCCTCCCAGCCCAAGGCAGGCTGCAATTCCTCGCTCAATTTCACGCCACATCCTAAGGGGAGAAGTCAGCACAGAAACGCTTTTTCTTCTTCTTCCTTCAACTAAAACTTCTTGCAGTTTTGACTAAAGCCTTGCTCAGGATTAAGAACCGAGCTGACTGTGTACCTAACTTCCGGGGTCTCGGCCAGATCTCCACATGCCTGTTTTTCCTTCGTTTCTGGTCTAAACGCCTTGTTTCCCTACGTGCTAACAGAAAACCGAGCTTGCGCGTAAGCCCGACGCCGTTGAGTCGTGAGAGGCGGGTTCCTAGCACTCGAGGAGGCTGCGTCCTGTTAACCAACCTCATTCGACCTGTGCGGACACCACAGAACACCTGCCCGGGCTCCCCCAGCACCGTCAGAGAGACGCAAACTCTGCGCAGGGAACCTTCCGGCTGCCTCGGCCCCAGCACCAGGCCCGGGCCCCCAGGTCGAGGACGAGGACGCAGCACCTCGTGGGCAGTGATGGCCCGCGTGTCCCCCCACGCCGGCACCTCCTCTGCCCCGCCGGCCCACGCCCCGGCCGATTGCAGGCCTGTGTGCTCTCCAGCCAGAGGGCAGCGGCAGGTGCTTGCGACACACCTGGGACGCTCGCTCAGCCCAGGGGTTCTCACCTACGTCACAGGACTGACCGCTTGTCCTGGCACTTTCAGGGCAAAAGAAGCAAACGTTGCTCCCAACTTCAGATGCGCTGCCTGTTAGCGGCCGGGAGGCAGCGGGACCCTGTCTGCCAAGCTCCGGTGCCCCTCCCCTTTCTCAGCCGCTTCCTCCCACCTGGGCAGCCTGCACCGACCGGCACCACTCTGCATCTCGCAGGCGCAGGTCCGGTCTCACCCGCAGGCACGCAGGCGGCTCCGCCTGCGCTGACCCTCGCCTTTGCTAATCACCATCACGACCCTGGGAGTGGGTCCTGTCACTATTTCCAAGTGAAGAAACTACACTGGGAAGATGTAAGACAAGCACCAGGCTACACCCGAGGGCAGGAGTCCGGCGTCAGAGCCGAGAGCCCAGACCAGGGTTCAGGCTCTTCCACCCGAAGCCGGGAGACCCCGCAAGCTCCGTCCTCTCTGCCTGGGACGTGTGGACAGCGGCGGCCTCTCTTGAGGTGCTGTGGCCAGGTGGACGGTCTAGGCCACGAGAACGGCGCCCAGCGCAGGGACGGCCCACCGTGGCCACGCCCTCCACGCCCAGGGCTTCCGTGTAATGGACGCTCAGTGGCACCAACCGGCGAGGCAGAGCCGCTCATCCTCCCAGAGAAAACGGTGGCTCGGTTTCCCATTTCAGACAGACGTGCTTGGACGAGGACAGTCAACGCGGGGACGACGCGCGGAAGGAACCTCAGGGAGAAAGTGCAGCGACCTCGGTGCCAGCGGTCTGATCCCGCGGGCAGGGATGCGGACGGCCCTGGCTCTAGACCCGACAGCAAAGCGGAAAATGACCGTTTCAGCCGCGGTGACAAATCCGCAGGCAGCACCTGCTGTGCGGGAGAGCTGCGCAGGTTCCACCAAGGAATACACACGTCCTGGCCCGAGGCGGGCCCCGTGGGGCGCTATGCGGGGACTGCCCCGCAGAGGCGTGGGGCGGGCAGGCGCGGAGAGGCTGCCGGAAGGAGAGGGCAGGCCCAGAAGATCCAGGCGGCCTCGGGAGATGGGAGGGGAGCACTTTCCGCTGCTACGTCATCTCCCAGCAAAGAGGATAAAAAACGCTGGGGCGCATAATTAGGGACCCTTGAAGAGTTTAGGTTAATTTCACCTCCAGACGAATTCTGCATCCGTGTTGCTGGAGGTGTGGCCGACGCCGGCGGGAGCACGGACCCCAACAGGCGTGGGCCGCACCCCACAGCGGGTGCCGCCTGCAGCTGGTCCAGCCCGGGGCAGCGAGACCTCAGGGGCAGGACAGATGAGGACCACAAGCAAATGGCCTCGAACTCCGCAGCCTCGAGGGGACCTATGACGGGCAGAGGCAGCTGCCCTGCGCCCCGTGGGCTCGCTCCACGGTCCTGTGCCACGGCCGTGCTGCTTCCCTTTCTCAGCAGCTGACGAAACTGAGTTCAAAGGGATTCGATTACTTGCTCAACGTTAGTAAGTAACGGAGCTCAGAGCAGCCAGAGGCGAGTTCCTGGGCTTTCGAGAAAAGCAAAACTTTCCTGCTGCACTCGCTTTGCACAATCTCGGAACACACCGTCTGTGACGTCAGCCAGTAGCAAGGGCCAAAAACAGATATCCTTCCTGTCAGCAGACACAGCTGGTCACTCCTGCCTGGAGTTTGTTCGGGAGCACGTCCAAACACACCAGCACGTCCTGTCCGACAGCCGCACGGCCTTCTTGTCTTAACAGAATTCTGCTTCTTCAGGTCTCATTGTTTATTCATTCCCGGTTTTCTTAAACACGTTGCATGAATCTCATTAATGCTATTTGCTCCTCTACTTAAAATGCGTAAGAATAGAGTCACACCAATTTCTCGTTTTCCCTCTGATAACGTTAGGACAAAATGCAAGACAAATAAGCCCGAGCTCAACTCCGACGCCTGCTCCGTTCCAGTCACAGCGGCCGGCGCTCACGCAGCTCCCACGGGGCCCTGGGCGTCTCGGCCCACTGGACCCCAACCTCCAGCTGCGGACCAAGCACCGGCCCTGTGCGGTGGAGGGCGCCGCGGCCGGGCCCCAGCAAGCCCGTGGTTCGTGGCTGGTGAGTGTCCTCACCAGGAGGCGCATGTCAGGCAGCGACAGACACCCTGGAGCTTTTCCCTTTGAAAACTGGTGCTCGGGCAAAACTGCGGCCCTGAGAAGGAGACGCGCTATGGGCGGACACGGAAACTGTGACTTCGTGACTTTGTTTCTGTACTTGGCGGAGGCCGCGTCTCAGTTGACAGACACATGCACACGCCTCCCCCTGCGGCCTGCTCACCCCCCACGGACGTGCTCTGAGATCCAAGCTCAAAGGCTCAGGAGAGTCTGCACCCCTGGAACCTGCCGGCAGCACCAGATCACCCCACGCCCTCGAGTCCAGGTGGCTCTAGAACCCCGTCCTCTCTGTGCAACCCTCCTGGGTGCCAGACGCCTCCCCATTGCCTCATCTGGACTCCGCAGGCTGCGTTTCCAGTGGAGGGCTGGGCAGGGCTCGCCCTGCTACGTCGCAGGGACACTGACCTGGGGGCACGGCCCGAGACTCACGTCCAAAGCACGCTCTTCCCGTCAGCGTGCAGCATGGAATAATGCCAGCCTGGGCTGCCGGGCTTTGCTTTCATTATTGCCGTCATTTTCCAATTTAAGCATCTTAATGACAGATTTCATTGTGCCTTTGGATTGTGGTTTTAAACAAAAAGATGACGCAAAGGAGGAGCCCAGGCACTGAGCCCTGGAGGACTGCTTCGCAGGGAGTGCTCAGACAGCCCCGCTCCGCACGACTGTTCACAGAGCGCCGGCGTGGCCACCGGGCTCCCCACGTCGCCGTTGCCGGCCCTCTCGCGGGAGCACCTGCTTCTTGACGGCGTCTTTCCCCACCTCCAGGGGGCACGGAGGGCTGGGAAGGACCCCGGTCTCCCGGACGGGGGGCAGACGTGGCGGCCGAGGTCCTCTGTCCTGGGCAGACGTGTAAGAGGGAGCAGAGGGCGGGAGCCTGGCCACGGAGCCCATCCGTCCAGACTGCGCTCTGGCCCGCGTGTCCCAGCGAGACCCGCTCGGGAGCCATCTGTGCCTCTGCGCTCCCAGCTGCAGAGCTGAGACGGGGACGGCCCCGCCCGCACGGCTGCCAGGGGCCTAAGTGACTCGGTTTCCGTGAAGTGACCGGGCAGGGCCGGCAGGGAGCGCTGCTCCAGGCCACGGGGTGTCCCGCTCAGCCGAGGTGGCACACGGGCCTCGTGCCTCCTGGACCTCGTGGGGCCCCCACACCTGCCCCTCCAGCCTGAACGGTCCTGCAGAGGCGAGGGGCGGCGAGCTGAGCCACCCACGTCTCCAGGCCACGCCCCAGACTGAGCCGCCTCGGGACGCAGCAGCGCCCTGCCGCTCGGAGCGTCAGCGGCAGACCCGCGTGGCCACTGAGACTCAGGGCCCCTGCCCGGCACCTCCCACCCAAGGGAGGGGGCCCAGGACAGAACCCTGGCAGACCCCTGGGGACAGGGGCTGGGTGCTGAGCGGTCGGTGTCTGAGGCTGCAGCCTCTGACGTGGGACCGACTTCACATCCAGGTGGCTGCCCCGGCCTGGCCTTGTCCCCCCGGCGGGTGGGGACAGGCCGATCCACAGGAGGGCCCAGGGGCATGGCGGGTGTCCTCACTCGGAGCCCCAGGGCTGTGGCAAGGTGACGGGGGGCAGTGGGCGCAGTGGCAGCCGCTGAAGGCCCTGGGCTGAGACTGCTCGAGGGCAGGAGCCCGAGACCCTCCACGCAGCCGCGTGGGCAGTGCCGCCCCATCCCCTGCACCCCCGCGCATCCCCAGACCCGGCGCCCCAGACCTAATCAGGAGGACCCCTACCCCCGGTTTTCGAAGGCCCAACTGAGATGCCTGTCCCCACCCCCACCGACACTCGGCAGGCTCCCGGGGACCACCCTGTCCCCAACCCTGTGAAGGTTCCCACAAAAAGTGAGGCCAACCAGGGCATCTGTCCCCCCAACTCCAACTCTAAGGTCCTAGGGTACCGTCCATCC